AGTCCCATCTCCGAAACGTCGTTTTATGTTTTATATTTACTAGACGATGGATAATACCCAAGGAAATTTTTATTCAAATAAATTACTGGAATACAAATCAACTGAATACTGATAGCGAGATGTTGAAACAGATCCTCTATTAGAGACTTCAACCATGAAACTGGCAAAACATAGTGCCCCAGAGGAAACACTTTGTATTTGTGGTTATGCTTTTTAAACTGTAAAAACACCAAAATAAAATAAAATGAGTATTTTATTCTCCATTCATTTACATGAATTCCACAGAACTCAGAGAATTATCTGATTGATATTCTTAAAACTTCCGCCCTCTAAACAACAAATCTTCTCTTACACAATATCCAGCCACTGTTGTTCACATCCGGAACAATACTCCTATATATAATCCACTGTTAACGTTACAAATAATTTGTGGCAATAACAGTACAGCCTACGTTGGCAACAAAATACTGACGCACTGATAATATCATGGACGCAGCCTATGGGATCTTATTCTTGGCATGTACATGTGCCATTGTTACAGCGACAGATCTCTCCTTCGACTACGGTATGTCTTCTGTTTTTTAATGTGTAAGACTAAAAAATGCTAGGAACTATTAGAGTGGATGTTTCTAAAAATCATTTTGTACCAGAAATGTAACTTTTCCTTTTGATTTCCCTGCAAGTGATATTGTGTTTAAGACGAAGGTGTAATCAATCCGATAACATTGAGTTTAAACAACCTTCGACTTGCATCAGTACCTATTTGACAGATTTAGACAAAATTTGAAACTAAACAAAATTAAAAGGTGGGTATTATTTTACATGTTAAATAAATCACAAATCGTTCTTAAACAGATCATGAATTTAACGTATCAGTGCAATATATTACTCTTAGTAGTTATAATAAACTTACCAACTGTGAAATTTGATTGTACGCAGTGTTCCATGTGTACCGTTTATTAATTCTATAAGAAACAAATTTCTCTTCTCAATAAGAGTTGTTTAATTTTAACCGTCTAATTACAATAAAATATTTTATTAAATATTAAAATATTACTACAATTAACATTTAATATTTAAAATATATTAAAATTATGCTCTTTCTATCGAAATGTTCGATTTACAATTAGAGCATCATCTTTTTCACGACATGTTTCGGTTTTCAATGAACCATCTTCAGGTGTATAATCGATATAAATTCAAATGTAATATTCTAAATGCAATCCTTCGTCAGATGTCCATTAAATATCGGAAAGTTATCCTCTTCTAGATCAATTGTACTTTGTTATCACATTCAATGTTGTTTCGTAAATGTCTATGTCGCGTATAGCGTGATCTTGCGTGGGTGAAATGTTTGTAGTGGTTTTTTATAATCGGTCTTTAAATTAAATAATAATATTATGAAGACTAAATAAATATTAGAGATAGAAAACAAAATAATATATTGAGAAATTTAAGCTAACTTTAATTATAACAGAAGATACAACACCGCTAAGAAATCTTTTTAAAACGTACAAAATTTCCGTGAATGTTTTATTCTCCTCAGTTCATAATCGTTTGTTCTCCCACCTACTATCTAAAATTCCAAAGAGTGAATATCGCAAATATCCAATAATTTATTCAATATTTATTCATTATTATGTCACTAATTGTTTGGTAGAAACACAAAGCATTTTCACTCTGAAGAGTAGGTTAATACTGAGGATATTTTAGTCCGATAGCTGAAGACAATATTTAGATTTACTAAGAATCAGGAAGTAACGAACGCGCGTATATACATTATAAGGATAGATACGAATAAGGATAAAACTTGCATTACACGTCGCATACATGAGAAAAATAACATTCAGGCAGTGTTTTAATACCTAACCTGAAATGAAGAAACCACTTAAGATATCTAGACATAGACAGAAGGATTTTATGTAAATAAAAGTATAATTATTTGCATTTAAAATACTTAGGTGTATTTAGGCCAATAAAATAAGATTATTATGCATGAATCTTGCAGTTTTAGTACTTCGATGGAAGAAAGAATGAAGATTAGAAACATTTAGTAGAGGAATATTTCATGAAATAAACGTCAGTAAGATCAAACATAAATGCGAGGATAATATTTAAATGTATTTTATAGATTTAAATGTTGATAACTTAATCTTGTCACAACTGACTCAGAATGTGGGCCATTAATTTGTGTGCCTTTTGTTTTAAAATTTATTTACCGTAAAATAAGTCAGTTCTAAAGCTGATTTAAGTGTTGTATAATCAGTCAGTCCAGCAGCTCTAGAAAATATATATCGACTATCTAAATGTTACTTGGTATCTGAGTTTCCCATTTCTTAAAAAGTACATACAATTATAGACTGTTTAGGACAATATTTATATGACCATGTTAGTGTATTACGCTTAAATTATTACGACTGTTTTCATATTAAGGCTACTCTGGGACTCTTGGCCTTATGGTTTTCATTCCTAATTATAAAACCACTGCGACTTACGTCTGGCTAAAATTTTACGGCCAACATATTTGTTTCCTGTGCGTGTATGTTTGGCGGCTATTGTGAAAGTTTATGGAAATCTATTCACACTTGATCGGTTAACAAATTTAAATTTATATTAAATTAAAGGGGCAGCTGCTCGCGGTCCCACAGGCTTCAATTGTTATTATTTTATGTCACAAAAAAAAGGATAAATGTAACGAATTTACGAGAACTAGCGTAATGTTACAATCAATATGAATCACCGGAATATATTCGTGAATTTGTACACGTTTTAAAAGATTTCAACCCATTAAGTATTCTAAAATTTCTCTCTAATATATTCGTTTAAGTAAGTTTTGCTACAGATACATTATACTTCACACTTTCCCGCTTGTGAGTGACCTAACGGCCATATTTCATCTCATTGGGTTTAATTACTTCAGTTTTAGCTGGAGAAGTATCAAAACCTAAAGTTTATCATTGTGAAATTTGATATTATTAAAACTGAATTAATACAACCATTAACCCTATAAAGTACAATTAAAACTGTATGTGTCTCCTAAGTAATTTTAAATAAATAACTCAGCATTCTTCCCACAGGATTTATTTGTGGTTTTCTCAGCATTAACAGCGATTATGTCCATAGCACTGACCAATTTAACTTTTTAATAGATAGCCTACGCGTTATGTTGAGGTAGAAACTCTAATATTAAATGTTATGAATTGTGTACTTTAATCCGTTAAGGGGTGTTTAATATTCGGTATATTGTAATAATTTGAAGTAACTTGATCTGAGGTTTGCAGGGCAAACTATGACAGCTTCACAGAATGTTCCCAAAATTCACATACTGTCGGTATCCTGATATTTAAAACGTGTGAATAAGGTAAGCGATTGTTTTCTTGTAAGTTGTACATCAAATTGGAAATTATTTTTAAAATATTCTTTTACAGCTTCATTTCGTAGTAAATATGACATTTCGACCAGAGTTCGACGAGAGTCTCCTAATGATACACTTCATTTCCTTGAGGTAAATTTGCACTAAATACTACAACCTTTAAGCTAACATCAGATGCGCTGAAGTATCAGTTAGAAGGTAGACAGATTAAATGATTAGGGAGAATAAAATAAGATACTATGTAAAACTGGGTGTGAGGAATATCTGGGATAAATCACAGGAACATGAGAGAACAGAGTAGCGATTGATAAGTAAAAGATTTGTTGATACAGAAAAGCAAAATATGCATGTTGATATGAGGAAAAATGTTCGCTTGAAGTTTCATTGGGATAAGACCTTGAAATGCGAGGTTTAAATTATAAAGTAGTTTAGAGTAATAAATTAGGTTAGAACTCAGTTGTAAGTAAATGTACGTATATAAAAAGCACAGGAAGGCTATCAAATGGGGTAATATTAGCCTAGAAAAGAAACACAAAATCTAGGTGATCAGTTTAGGTTATTGGTTGGTATTTGCTACTTTATAGAATAACAGTGCAGACACTTAAGTTAATTCAGATCACAAAAAAAAAAATCAAGTTAATTCAGATCACAAAAAAAAAACAATATAGAACTGACTAAGAAACACGTATAAATAGATGTAATACAGAAGATATAAAATCAGATAATCATGCCTTTCTATTTGTAATAAGCACAGAATACAATTGAGAATAAATCACCCAACAGCCCTGAAAGGAGTTCCTTGTTGAAGCTAAATTTAAAATACGGTATAGTGTAAAGACGACTTTTTACTCTAAATTCGTCGAAAATATAGGTCTAATGTATAAGATATATATATATAAAATACATTTTTCCTCAACCATGATATTCCGGAGAACTTCTGAGGACTCGCTATTATGATATATTCGCAAGTTTTGTCAGTGCAAAAATCAAAAAAAAAATTTACAATGCATGGGTTGTTCTTCTTCAATCAGACCTCCGACACCAGAGCTGTTGGATTCGGAGGCAAATAATACAACTAATTACAATACAAGAAAATTAGTAGCCATACATATCCTTAAAGAGCAGTGGCTGTACTCTATGTTATTTCTATGAAAATAACTTCACTACAATTTTTCAGCCTTGCTGTTCCTACAAAACCGTTTACACTGAAGAAGACGATAGAATTTTCCAAGAATGTTTCACTGAAGTTGAAAATAAATATCAGTTGAATATTTCATATGACGAAGGTAATCTGAATATGGATATATAATTGTTTAAATCATAAACATGTTTATGTAGTATATATTGTTTAAATCTTGTCCGTCTAATCACAATAAATTCCTATTAAATATTAAAATATTACAATAATTAACATTTAAAATATTTAAAATATTAATATCGAATATTTCGATAAAGAACATCATTTAATATTTTAAATGTTTATTATTGTAATATTTTAATATTTAATAAGAATTTATTGTGATTAGACGGACAAGATTTAAA